CAATGTCCCTGCCCTCAGAAAAAAGAAAATCTTCATTCAAAATTTGGACCCTTCTTAACCTGGCATCACAGGTATTTGTCTAGCTCTTCCATATGGACAGGTCACCCCTGATCATCCCAGAATCAGATACAATCAACTATTCATAGGATGGGAGATAGTTACAGAGTATCTTCACTATCAACTTTTTAAAAAAGACTTTTAATCCCAGTGTTATTCTGATTAGACCTTAAACATTCTGGAAGTTCCACTCATTGAAAAATGAGCACCAGTGTTTTAACTAAATAAACTGAGGCTACCAATAGCTGAGCAATAGTAGGTCAAGATGTCCAAACTCCAAAGGCAAATCAAGAGTATTTCACTCCACAACTGCAGAAAATAGCTGAAATTGCAGGATTTTTCCCAACAATGCACTTAAAAGCAGAATGGAAAAGCAAAAGTATGGGAGGCCAAAAAACCCCTCTGTGCTTGCTTCCCAACCTTTATTTCAAAAAACCCCAACTTTTTAGCATTTGAAGTGCTTATTTTTCCAGGAATTTAAAAAAAAAAACTCTTCCAAAAATGCAGGTATTTCTTTCTCCCTTTATCAGTACTTTTAATCAGACATTATTAATGAGGGCAGAATGGCTTTAAACTTAAATGTCATTTTTTGAGTATGGAAAGGCCAAAAGCATGTGTATATGTGTACGTACACACACATCAGGTTTATATGAGACATTTTGTTTGCATGTTCATAATTTTAAAAGGTAGTGGTAGGGTTATGGTAGTGACGGTTGGTAATATATTCTACTGTTCAATTGTCTATATTCCACCATGGAGTAGCACTTTTTAAAAAAAACTAACTAAAATAAAATATGATTTCAGGAATATAAAATGAGCACTTTTACACTTTTGTAATGAAAATAAGCAATTAAATACCAGAACTATGATATATTGCTTTTTGTCATCAACTGCAAGATTCTAAAGGCTTACTTTCTTGTTATTGAGCTTTCAAGCTGGTGAGGTAATTCCCTTAACACTATAAACCATAGGATATCCTCCCCAGTGTTTAATGTTTTGACTTTGCAAAAGTTCATAAAAATGTTCTACTTCATACAATGGAGATAAGAAAAATGAAGTTTTGCTTTAGTCTTCAAAAGCCAGTATTTGAATTCTATGCAGCACACTTATCTGAACTGTCAAGAAAAAACACAAACACATAGCCTAAGATTAGATTTTGTTCAAAATAATTGACACTATTAACATTTTCAAATAGGTTAAGCATTTAAGCACAACAATAAGTCTATTTACTGGTTTACAGGAGGGGGGGGGGAAATCACTATGTGAAATTATATCTCAAGCCCATCCCACACTGATTCTTCAAATATAAATCTAATTAATTCATAGAACTTTCCTGACAGGCAGCTATTTACTTTTTATGTATCTTTTTTTTTCTAAAAATGTTTAAAAAGAGAACTACTTTATTAAAGTATACATGTTGTTTGATTTCCCAGTTCTACAAATAAAGACAGATCCAATATAATTTAAAATTTGAAGAATAGGATAAATACATAACAAAAAATATCAAATATTTCAATAGTTAAGATAGATATAAAATTGATGTATTCCATCCTGGCCTATTGATGAGGAAAACATCTATATGCTAACACCACCCATTTTTTTGTGAAATAGACAGCGATATAAATTTGATTAATATATAAATAAATTATAACACACATTGAAACCATCACGTTAGCATATTTAGAATAAGTTTAATATATTAGTAGTTAATGTTATCCTTTATAAGAGGTGATAGTATCTTCGTCATCCAAAGCCATTCTCAGAACAATGACTCAGAAACAACTGGATTTATTCCCTACAGAGAAGAGAAAACAGTCTGAGTGCAAACCACTTCAAGTTCAAAATAAGGAAAACATTTTTAATTTTCAAGCTGAAGAAGACACCCTCTTACAAAGTATTTAACAACTTGTTGTTTTTCTGAGTAAAGAATGTATGCACCACAATGATTATTCTGTTTTCAATAGCTGAGGCAGTAGAAGGGGGGGAAATTGCTTTGTTTTTTCCTTGTGCTGTGAGAGGAGCAGCTGTGAGCACTTTTGTGGAGAATCACTGTCTAACTTCCAAAAAAAACATGTAAAGTAATATTGCTAAGTGGAGAGATTGTCCATTATGACCCAATTACAGACTTACCTATAGTCAAGTTGGCCATGGCGTTGATTTAAAGAAAACCGAGTGCATTTATTACCTTATTCTAGAAATTTATTTATCAAAGTCAATCCATCTCACTCCTGTCCCTTAACCCTAAATTATAAGCTTAAAAAATTGCCAAATAATATATTTAGATTTTGTCAAGCATGACAATTATTTGAGCCCCTCAAATAATATATAAAACATATGAATACATTTATATAAACAATTACATCCAAAGTTCTTAAGTTTGCAAACTTTAAAATCTCCCCTTATCCAATTTCACTGCAGTTTAGATAACTGCTACCACTTAACATGGACTGTCACTCCAAATATACTTATGGCCCTTGGTTTAAAAACAAAGGAGCAAGAAATTCAAATGGAACTCCCATTGTTTGCTATAGGCAAAACATTGCTGAGTTTTGTTCTGGCAGCAGAAGGTACACTAGTCCCATTTAAAACTTTGGTCCTTAGAACACAGTCAACTCAAAATATTGGCTTGTTTTACTCCAATGTCAAAAGAATACACAATCCTAGTTCTTAGCTTTTAACATTGGCAGAGAAAAAAATTCACATTCTTCAACCAAGAGTAATACATGCATAGCTCTAAAAATGACTATGACACTTTTTTTCCTTGTTATAATAACAGGGGAACTTCTATTCCAATTGTTCAAGATACTATTTAAATAGGAAGATCCTGGACTTTCTACGTTAACACCAGACACATGAGAAACAGCACACCTCCCAGACTGCTAATATTAAGGTGGCCTAATTAACTTAAAGGTCAAGAGAATACAAAAATGTTTTCAAAACTGAAGGAAGTTAACTAATGATTTTTAATCATGTGAAGAACTGTTGTTGTAAACGTGAATATGCAAAACATGGAGCATATCAGCCAACAATTGCAGAAGATGCAAACTAAAATCTCCAGAAATTAAGGTAAGAACAATATAAAGTAAAGGGTAGGTCATATGAATAAAACAGAGACCTCTTCAAGCATGACTAGACTCTCATCCAGTCTTCAACAATATATTTAGGGTTTTTAAATAAATGTATTACAATCTTCAAACATGATTGATTGATTGATTAGATATGATTTAAAGCTTTAATACATAACTTATAATCTTAATTATAAGTTAATGTCATTGCATATTTCCTCTAAAACTTCAAAATTTTCTAAGTCTGGCCAAAAGAAAAATGTTGCATAGCTTTCTCCATAACAATTATTTTGGGGTGAGAGTTATTACTATTCTATTTTCCTGCAAAAAAAAAATAATCAACTGATAACTTGTGCTTATATATAAAATAGCTTTTATTAAGTACTCTGTATTAAAAACACTACTATATTGACTAATATAAACACTGTTTCTTGACAATAACCTCTAAAGTGTTAACCAGCCACTGTTGATTATGTTGAATGATTAGAAAATGACACTGCGTAGTGTGAAAAATAGAATATATTCAGCATGCTGTCAAAACAAAGACATTTAACTTCTCTCTTGTCAGATCTCATTAACAAGAGGCATGAAAGTTCTGAAGCTGTTCCCTTCCTTCATATAAAACTGCAATTAAAATGAAATCCTTAATCACCCTACATCTGTCAGCAATAAGATACTTCATGACAGCGCTTTAATGTAACTTAATAATTCTTTAAGAGGCAGATTTAATGAACCAGAAATCTACATAAAAAGGAAAATATATGGGATACTTTACTCTATCCCCATCTTATGGTTGCAAAAGGAACAGCCATTTTGAAAGATGAGATATCTAAAAAAAGCACTGACTAAATGAAAATGGTTGTATTGTTGTCTGTATCAAAGGCATTGACCGTATTACTGATTTACAGAATTAACAGATTAGATTTCCTCACAGAATTATGAAGCAAAATAATATAACCTGTTTAATTAAAATGGGACTCGATCCAATGTTTGGTATACTTTTTACTTAACCATGAAGTTGTACAAAACAAAGTGAGCAGCTTTCTTTTCCAAAAAGAATATATTTCTGCCTGAAGGATATCATGGTGTAGAAATTCCAAAAACTGTAAGACAAAGAACAAGTCTCTTTACAGTTAGGTATAATATATATATATATAGAGAGAGAGAGAGAGGGAGGGAGGGAGGGAGGGAGGGAGGGAGAGAGAGAGAGAGAGAGAGAGAGAGAGAGAGAGAGAGAGAGAGAGAGAAAGAAGGTTCCAGTTATATTCTTCTTGTATAACATTATGCATGTAAAGTTAAGATGACAGAACTGACATTTCTACTAAAAGTGAAAACTTAAAATAAATCAGTTTCATGCTTTTCATTTCCTTTATGATCACCAACATCAGTAGCTGTTTGGAAATATATCACGGCGGTCCCATCCAAGGAAAAATCAAAACTGGTCTGGCAAGATTATTTATCACTTTATTTTTTTTCTCCAACATATAAAATAGCATGAAAAATTAAGATGAGACGAATGCAGTCTATAAGAGCTTTATTACTACAAATGGTAATATCTGAAATATTTTTATATTTCATTTACAATTTTGTGCTTTAAAGGTCTGTCTGCCAGTACAAGATTACAAAAGCAAATATTTCCTTAACAGAAAGGTTATTTATTTGAAATGTGATTTAGGATCAGAAGTTTTAAAAAGTATAAACAGTACACAACTTGCACATTAAAAATATCCAAATAATAAAGATTTGGTTTTTAAAGGTTTGTAGGAATACATATTGACTACCAATTAAAATTATGTTTAAAGATCTCAAATAAGGCATCTTATATAATCATTACAAAAAGAAGAAATATTTTAAATAAATATTAAAACTATTTCAGTCACTGATGTTGACTTTACTAATTCATTTACTAAATTTCTTCAAAGACTACATTGAATTGAGATTTATTTCTAATGCAAAAAAGGGAAAGAAAGAAAATACAAAACACAAATATCTAAATTGCATCATGTATAAGACCCTGCGAATGTAGTGAATTTAAGAACTCTTCTTTCTGTTAGCCTCGACTCTTCTTTAAAATTATCTGGAAAGAAAAACATATAGAACCTTTAGATACAAAAGCTTAATATTTCATTTAAAATTAGTCATTTATTTAATATGAAATGCTTTAGATGATTTTCATTTCATCAAATGCCGTTTCATCTAAACAGTGTATTATTATAATGGTCACTGTAGTAAACCAGTAACCTTGTACCTACATAAATGAGACTTTTGTATCAGTTAAGATGTGTCTTTTCATTTCTTTAAATCAGCAATGCAAATACAGTTTAGGATTTATTGATACCTAGTAGAAAAATTTAGGATGTCTAGACTGAAGTAAATATTCCATTCCATATTCTTTTGAAAGAGGGAATGGTGTGGGGTCTTCTAAAGAGAATCATAACTATTGTGAACATTATTCTACTGCAAATATCCCACTGGAGAAGATAATGGCTGATTAGTTTCATATGTTCCTGGATGATATAGATTACCTGATCCAATCCATTCAATGTTCAAGTTTGATTTTGGCAGTGGAACTGCTTTGGTTGGCCTAAACTAAGATGACTTGCTTTGGGGGGAGGGGGTTGTTCATTTTCTTTAACCTTATGGCAGCTTTTTATACCGACTGGCTGAGTCAATTATTTTGGATGAACTAGGAGGAAGATGCTCCTTCCTGGTTTGATCTTAGCAGGCTTTGGCTTGGCTTAGCCGTCATGGGATCCTGCATTTTGTTACCTTTGTTTATATTCTATACAAAGGTATCAAGTGAGGCCATCAGGGGCTTGTGATTGGGTGATCCTATAGAGCTTTATCCCTCCCATTTTTAAAGTAAGGCAGTGTTTGAATCCTGTTACTGGGAAAAACACAAAACTCGGTAAGACATATGGATTGGTTGCTCACAGATTTGGCTATTAGATAGGTATCTAACACTCTTTGGAGCCGCACTCCTTCTGAAAGAACAAGTAGAAAGCCTATGTATTCTTGGATTCATCTTCATCTTTTGAGGCCTAGATGGCATAGGTAATCATGTCTTTAACCAGCAATGTCACATCCAGTGTCCCTGAACGTTATGGACAGGGATGGCCTGGTCATGGTAGCCAATGCTATAGTTATCTTCCATTTAGATTACCACAAAGTTCTTTTTGTGGGAGTTAAAATATCCTTGTAATGAATATTCCTTTTACTGTATTAATGTAATTATATTTTAGCACATAAAATTACTGTAAAAATCTGTTACATTTAATACAATTTGTTGATCTGTGTTTTAGTAATGACACCCTAATTTGAACATACACATTCTAACATAAATTTATAATATAATTATACAACACTGATTATTTTTCTCACTATAATAAAGTTTTAACAAGTATCTTATTTATACAAGTATTATCTGAGTACTCCCTTAGAATTTAATACAATTGTATACAGTTTTAACATTATAGTATGCAAAGTAAGATTCAAGAAAGAATGTAAGTATGATTACCTTTGCCGAAGAGACAACATGTTCATATTTAATTATTTTACTCTTTTCTTCAATAGCCTTGGTCCTGGCTTCTTCTGCTAACCGAAACAGGAACAACAAGAAGTTCAAATGTACCTTTTAAAGAAAAATTCAATTTTTTTTCAAAAGATCTCAAATACATTACAGCATACTAGCCTATAAAATTATTTATGATACTAATTAAAATGTTCTCAAAATAAAATTTATCAATATATCTATGTTTAATTTTATATTTGCCTTACTTCTGAGACATTAACATTTCCAATTAAATGCAGAGATATAAATTTCTGATAATTTTTTAAAACAATGAAATAAATTCTGTTTCAAAAACATTTTTGGACATGGGAAGGCATGAAAGTAGAATCAATCTACATCTCTTTCCCCAGAATCATGTCATCTGGTAGCCACATGATCCAAAGAAAAGATGCATCTGCTTTAAAGAGTTGCAGACAAGTGGTATACTTATGCTCAAACATATTCTTAAGCATCTCTCTAAAATTAATGTGAAGTTTTATGCAACCCGAAAATACCTATTCTTTTCTCCCATTTTTTTAACCTTATAGTTAATGTTGATGCCTGGTAAGTCCCTGCAATTTTCTAGGCAAGATTTCAGAAGTGATTTCCCCTTGCCTGCTTCCTAGGGCTAAAAGAGATGGCCTGGGCCAAGATCCCTCAACTGCCTTCGTGTCTGAAGCAGACCTAGATCTCAGTCTTCCTATGCCCAATTAGCTCTTTCTCCCAATAATCTACCTTAAAAATGGGATTTAGATCAGGTGCAAATATAATAATAGAGGCAGAGCTTCTTATTGTTTTCTTTTCAGGATTTCTTTTTCAGGGATTAGTACAAAGCCAATTTGGAGTAGTGGCTGAGATACTGGCCTAGAAACCAGGACTAAGCATGTAAGCCAGCTGGTGACTTTTGGCTAGACACTCGCTCTCAGCTCAACCCACATGACAGCATTTTGTTGTGGGGAGAATAGCAAGTAGGAGTATTAGATAAGTTTGTTGCCTTCAGTAGAGGTAGGTAGGTAGGTAGGTAGGTAGGTAGATAGATAGATAGATAGATAGATAGATAGATAGATAGATAGATAG